AACTTTTTTTGAGAAGGCAATTAACGCGGAAAATTAACCTGGTAAGAATTGCAACGGTCACTGGTCTACGATCAGAGTTGTACGATGTCTATATAAAGATCTAATTGTCCGTAACATAATTTTGAAAAAGAGTTTATGAAATATTCCAGAGATCGTTTTTCACTAATTTCTGTATTTAAAAAGTAGTCACTCACTTCTCTGGAAATGGTACACATATTGTTGAATTCTCGTTATTTTTAGAGGAATAGAAAATTTCACATACATCTGATTAACAGAAAGTAAAAATAGAATGTAGAACAACTTGGAACTCTTCTTCGTTTGAGAAATAACACAGTTTTCTTAGACTCTCTGCCTTAAGTTCATTTTTGTTTTTACTCCATTCTCTTATCGTTGATAGTTAGCAACTTAGATTCGGGAAATCTTACTGAAGCGACGAATTTCAATTTTGTGATATAGGTTCGATCTTGTTTACCCGTACTTTTTTTGTTTCCTGAAAAATACGTTAGAAATTATCTTATTTATTATAATACATATCTATTGTAATAGTCGAAATGAAATAAATGTACATTTATACACATATGGTAATCGGATGCTGGTTATCACTTTTGTTGAGCACGTGTGAAGTTTTCGAAAGTAGTTTCCTAATTATTTTCCATTTGTATTTGTAATTGTATATGTATTATTATTCTTAAACGGAAGAAATAAGTTTTATAGCATTTGGTTTGGAACGCTGGCATTGAAAGAAACGTGAGATCAACAGATAGATGTGGATTTGTCTACGGAATATACGGCGGCGGCATTTTATATTATTATAAATGTTTTTGTGTAAAATGACATTCGTTGGAATTTTATTAAGTATTGATAATACATAGTTTTAATACATATCAGGATCATTTTGACACTATACCAACGTATGAAAATGGATCACAACGTTAGTTTGAATTTTTATAAAAACATCGACAGATTCTGTGGATCAAATCTAAGGACCGGCATGGACTTAATGCGATTGATTTTTTTCTTCAAAAACTATTATACATAGAAACAACATATATTTATTAAAAGTACGAAAATATGACAAAAACTGAAATATTCTTGTAGGAATATGAGCTGGTCTTACAATGATACTGTGTATGTACATGTATATATATAATTTATACATGACCATCCGTGAAGGAATACGGTATATTAGACGAATTTAAATTGAAACGTAACAGTGTCAAAGGGATCATAATTAAAGAAATGCAATACAGTTAACTTTCAAAACGTAGTTGGTTTAAAACTTCTAAATTATATTCATATTTAATTCTGATTTTGTTTTAAATATAATTTTGTATTGCAATAGTTACACATGAAATCATACGAATACTTGTTGTCTCTGATTGATACACACGGAATAAAATAAGATTAGGTAACTTGAAAGTAGCGAGGTCCATGTTACAGGTAGGTGAAACCATATTAAACATTTATTTAAAGTGTAGACTTGTAAGGACCAACATTTTCATTCTGTTCATAATTTAATACAACCGTCTCTTTTATTTTCCATTTCTACAAACTCAAAAAAACACACGAAAATTTGGGGAATTGAGTGGGCGGCACCTCGATGATACACACCATCTAATCAGTCGCATGATGCGGTGTATTGCGTAAGCTCCGCCCATTATGACAGGAGGGCTACTGTGCTGAGGTGTGATTGACGTTTCAGACCAACCAATAATTTTGGGTGATTTCACAGTGCAGGGACAGCCGGCTTGTCCGCCTCGGTAGATTTTTCAATAAACTTATGTTGATCAGTAAACTGTGATAACATTTTATACAATGTATACTAAACGGAGACACTTATAATGATGTGTTAATTAACGTACCGGTCCTTTTCAATTATAATCTAGATTGTTTAAAGGGGAAATCGTGTAATCTAGTCAAATTAACCGACACTTGCACATCGTAAATGTTGCCCCAAT